TCAGTTTTATTAAGTAAAGAACTTGTGACGCTAAAGTTTCGTCGGAACGAAGTTACGGAAAGTTAATTAACAAACGGAGACGTAACAATATAATATGTACTAGAATTTTGAAAACTTGTATTTAGATAAGTGGGTAGGAAACATGTAATATGCCTGTATACCACGCTATTAACAATAAAGCAGGGCTGCATGGAAATTGAGAAACAATTATCTGAATAAATATATGTTTCAAGCAAATTATGGTCTGTTTGTTTGTAATTAAGAACAAAGCTACACAATGGGCTATCTGTGCTCTGCCCACCACATGTATCGCAACCCGGATTCTAGCGTTGTAAGTCCACACCCATACCGCTGTGCCACTGGTGGGCACAAATTATGGAAGGTTGCTATTGTTAAAGTTAATATATTGTAAATATTTTTTAACAGCCAACAACTTTCAAGCTTTTGAAGCTGTCTCATTTTGAAATATTCAATTTTCACGTGGCAAAAATCGTAAAGAATTATTACACAGCAAACATTATTTATAATTACGGATCGTTATAAAATTAACTGAGAAATAAATTATGTGTTTGCGCTTTCTGTTGGAATTCCCCACTAATTCGTGACGTACATGAAAGAGCATAGACATTCCAGAAAGTTTCTTAGAATTTAAAACAGGTCGGCCTGTGGTTACGTGTGGGAGCGATTTAACGAACTAATGCAAGTGTAATTTAGCGCGGTGCAGCAGCGTTGGTACTACTCTTAGAATCGTACTCATAGACAACAAAAGATTGCATAAGATAGGCAAATTTAATCAATATATTGCATTTATTTGAGGATTATCATTAATAATAATAAACTATGCAGTTTAAACTGAGATATAGACTTTATTGGAAATTATCAACTGAAGCAAGAATTATTACCGTTTGAACGTGAGTAATATTATATAATATTATTAATGTTTTTCAGATGTATTTATTAAGAATAATAATATTAATGTCATGGTATGTGTAGTCAGTAGGCATAACGATTAATATTAAGTCTAAGGCCATAGATAATATTATTCGATTTGAATAGAAAATAAAAATGCAACATGGACTTTAATCAATGTCTAGACAATTTTTAATTGCCTATTAAAAGGTTTATAAGTTGTAACTTGTACGTTAAGTCTATCCAACTATATATATAACATACTATTTAAACCATTAGTAATAAGGTACTAAAAACCAAATGTCTAGGAAGTGAATTTAGTAGTAATACTATTTCTAGTGAAATAATGCTTTTTGATCCTTAAAATATATTTATAAGAAGAACGGTATATTTGATTAGCAACACTTTTTAACGAATTGGTCTGTGTAACTTGTAAGTAACATGCTTTGATCTGTATTAATAGTTACTAGTAAAGTTTGTGTTTTTTAGTTTTATTGAAGTTAAATAGGATATTGAAATAAATATTGATTGAACACATTTCTTTTATAAGTTATAGCCTACTACTAAATATATTAGAACACTGGCCAAAAAAATACTTTTTTACTCTTATTCCAATGTAAAACTAAAACCAATAATAACAGTTGCAGAAACATTAGAGCTTATCATGACTCATAAATTATTAACATGGTTATTTTATCAGTAAGACCTAAAAAGGAAAACTTAAATACAGATGTTTAAGAAAAATAAAAAAATAATGCTATATTTATGAATATAATCATAATATATAAATATGGTAAACTATAATTTGAGTCTTTGAGTATAATAAAATATATCAAAATGCATAAAAACCACAAGGTCATTAAAAAAAAAGCATAACTGTTTTTGTAGTTTTAGTAAAACCTGTGTAATTGTGAACAAGATTCAAGAATGTAAGAGCCAACATATAACAACTAATTTGGTTAATCATTTAACCTCTCTTGGAATTCTCCATAAGTTTCTCATCAAACATAAAAGAAACCAATGAAAATCTTTCTTTGTTTATTCAACCTTAAGAACTTTTAATTGGTTCCATATTTAAAGCTTTTGAATATTAAGGGATAACTTATACTTTCAGATCAGCATTCAAAAACAAACTGGCTGTAAGGGGTATTGGGAAATTTCATGGTGGTCCTATCTCAAATTGCAAAATTGAGGCATGTTGATACAATTCAGTAGTCTAACTCCATAAAATTGCAAATTATAAATTGTTGCTATAAGTTTTAAGCATAATCATTCATTCTAGTTTGACTAGGTCAATCACAGTTGGGTGTGAAATAGTCATTAAGTAATTTCCCAGTGTCCAAAACATACAATTTTTATTTAACTGCTATCAGCATTGCTCATGATGTGCGTTAACTGTACATGTAGAGGTCTTACTGTATGCACCATAAAAGATATAAGGCTCAATATAAACTTGTGTAAAAGGTAAAATAATTTGGTTTAATCATTAACATGAATATACAGGTGCAACAATTTCATAAATAACTTTTGATAAACAAGAGTTACGAGCTAAAATTTTAGATTAAATTTGAAGGTAACCACCTCACGGGTTCTGTGCACACATGGGCATTTCTTATGTCGATTTTAAAACATTTGTACTTAGCAACTACAGCATTTATTGAGGAAAATACTAAAAACACTGACAATTTTAAGGTAGGATTTAGTAACTGTTTAGCAAAATAAATTCTTATTTATTGTTTATCTTGTTTTCAAGAGTGTGATCCTCTGAAGGTCCATAAATCTTCCCAACTAATGTAAACATTTATTTTTAGGAATATTAAAAGAACTAAAGATGCATTAAAAACAGGAATGAACCTGAAGTTATTGGTAGCATAAAATATTCAGCGAAGTTATATTTTACATGTATTTTGGTTCTGTATAATTTTGAAAAAGCAAAGCAGACTTGTGCAATTCTGTTTTCATACTGATTGCTTTATAAAACTATTCAAAAATAATGTTATAGAATTTACAAAAAATAACTAATAGGCAAAATATTTGGACAAATAATTATATTTTTATATTAACCACTACAGTCTAAATAACTATGAAAACTTCACACACACACACACACACACACACACACACATATATGCATACTTATAAAAACATAATAAAAATTTGAGTGGTAGAAAGACATTAATTCCATCAAGGTAATCTCCTCACTCACAAAAAAAAACAAACAAGCAACAGAACATGTAGCTAGTCATTAACATTGATATATTTAGCCATTGCAATTCTGAAAATTTCAAACAAACACTGCATCATCAAGCATGGGCATCTGCAGTGGGGCAAGGGGCTCCCCCTCTCCTGGAAAATGAGAAACATAATTCTTTCTTTATTCATTCAGCTTATGTATATGGATTTACAAGTTTTTTTTTTTATTCACTGCACAATTTCACACTACTTTGTCTCCCCTTCTGGAAAACTTTCTGAGGATGCCTATGTGACATCAGGCCAATCATTCCACAACATTTTTCATATTCTAAATCAGTGAAAATCATATTTATATTTTGATATTTTTTTTTAGCCACTGTCAAGGCTGAGACAGTCAGTTGGATAGCTTTGATAAATACCTAATAGCAGATCATTGGTTCATTAATGTATTTAAGAAAATACTGTTGCGTATTATAATCTAATGTTTTCTTAATAGTTACTGATAAATTACGTAATTTCTAAGCTTGTCACTATTTTAAGTCATTTTTAACTTTTTATTTTATTTCTTCAAAATAGAAAAAAATCAAATTATTAATATAGTACAAGGTATTTGCCAATGTGTTATTTCTGGGATAATCATTAAGACATTTGTTTGTGAACTTGAAAGTTAAGTACTGTAAGATACAAGTATTTTTGTATGTTATTGGAAATTAATAATGCAGAGACAGAATTAAATGAATAAAACTGGCTTTGGAACTGCATTGTAAAAATTCCAAAATTGTGTTTTTGGTATAAGTTGGTACAATTTTAAATGTTTTGTGGGCAAATTGAGGTATGTTTGTGATATTTTGAAAAGTATGTGTCCCACCTAGAATGTTAGAGTTGGAGTATGAGAAATTTTTTGTATAAATTTTTTTATTATTCAAAATGTTACATCTTCTCATCAAAAAACTAAAGTTTAATTATTGTTTAGAAAAATTATTATGTCATATAAAAATCTTGAACATAGTTTTACTTTCTTAAAAAATACTATGTAGCAACATTAAATAAATAAAAGTAAGAAGCTAATAAGCAGTTTATATAGAGATACAGGAGGGGGGAGTTGATTAAAGAGTCACAGTGTTATGGAGCACTTATCTGGGTCATGTTTTTTTTGCCTGCCACACTTGTATGCTTGTCTAGTAATTAGAATTAGACACAAATTAGTCTCCAATGTATGCTCTGTGGGATTGTTTTAAAAATATCAGATAAGGAATAAAAAAAAATTGGTTCAGTACAATATCATTTCAACAATGTTTATCATTATAAATCTAATGCAAGGTGTTTGTATATAGACTGTATGATTAATATTGTAACCTGTGATATCCAACTAAGAATATTTCTTACCTAATTTTCTATGATAATTTAGATTTCCAGTTTGTTGGTAATCTTTAGGCAAAGTTATTTCATAAATATCACTGAAAAATCTTGATAAACAAAACTATATGTAAATACTTCATTCTAATATTGGCTGTATAATATTTTATGATAATTTGAATTTTACAACATAGTGTGTATTCTGATTTATATTTAAAAATTGTTTTGCAAGTCATGTTTGAATTAACAAGTCGTACTTTTTCAGTATTTTAGCACCACAACAAGCTTGCTATTTTGATTTTGTTCTAGTTGCTGTATCAAACTACACTAAAAAATTGTCATCTCAATAGCAGAGTAGACCTTATTAACCTTATCTTATTCCACACACTTTTATATATTACAGTATACATTCTTAACCTTATCTTATTCCAGCCGTTCTTTCCGAACTACAGTAGACATTGTTAACCTTATCTTATCCTAGTCAGTATTTCACAAGTACAACAAGCAATGTTATTTTTATAGTACTAATACACTATTTCAGGACTACTGAAAACATTATTCTTCACACTTAGATCAGTAGAGTAAACATAGTAATGGTACTTTACTTCATAAGGTATTTGATATAGCTATGATAATATTTCAGTACTTCAAGAAAATTGTTGTAAGACAGGGGAAGTGGATCAGAAAAAAGGAAGTGTAGAAATTGAGTAGAAAACTTGGCAGAAATGGCAAAGCAGTTGCATCATTTCTTGTTTAAAGCAGCCCATTTCACAGTAGAGATGTGGTAAAGATTTCTACTGTCTGAATTTGGTATATTTTATGCATTAAATATCATAATAATCTTGAATCTTATTTTTACAGAAAACTATATTCTACATCAAGATGTAAGAAATATCCTAAAAATATTTTAATTATGAAATACTTCTCTAATTCAGGCTTAAGTGGATGTTAAATGGTGTGAATCAGAAAGAGTAAGAAACTTAAACAGCAGCAATATCTTTATTCTCCACATTATAGCTGGATATTTTATTATTGTATATTTTGGTTATTATGGGAAACTAGCCAAAATGCTGAAAATTTCATTTACAATCTTTGGTTCGTAGAATTTTTGTTTGCTTTGTTCAAACTCAGCTATTTACAATAGCTACTGCAGTAACGATATATGGGTTATTCTATAAAATATATTTATTTTTCAATATATGGGAAAGTTTGATATGAATTTGGTTTGCTTTTGGACTACTAAGTTAGCATGCCAGTTTGTCTGGATTGGTCAACTCTCATTTAGGAGGAGATGTATCCACGGACAGACAGAAAGCTTTCCTTGATATTGGATAATTATTGCACCAGTATATGCAATAGAATGTGAAGAATGCCTTACCCTGATTTTTATACTAAGCTCTTCCATGAGCTGGATAATAAAAAGTATGTATTTTTACAGATTTTGAGAATATGA